ATACAGCATCATTTGTTGTGTTTTATTAAAACACTTGACAGAAAGATCCCAAAGCATGTGGCTGACTTGCATCTTGCTTGTTATGCTATTTAGCTCCATTGACTTGCAAAAATAAATTCCTTCTTTTTCTGACAAGCCCCACATAGCTACAGCAGCAGGCCCACAGTGCTCAGGCCTAGATGGAGGAGATGTTGGCATGCAAAAGAAGGCAAACTTAACATGCACACAAAAAGTGCCAGGAGGGCCGGAGTGCTCATCCCATACTGCAGTCTCAAAGTCCCAGCCTGAAAATGCAGGATCTCATTCTGTTTGTCTAGAAGTGACAGGTTGAATCAGCTCTGCCAGGTTTGAAGTACATCATCACTGGAAGTCTTAAGGATTTCTAACGGGGGTTCAGCACGCAGTGCCCTGCCCCACATTCTCCTGTAGCTTTGGACAGTGCTGTGTTGTGATGGTGAGGGAGCTGCAGTGTCTAGTTGACATACATTATCAAGTGTGATATTGCCGTGTGAAGGATAACAACAGCAGCATTTTTTTTTACTGTAGAACAAAACAGGAGGCAAAAGTGTTGTTATACTAATGATTTTTAAAGATGTATTGACATGCTGAAGAAGGTACAAAGACTTAGAGCCTGTAGGGTTCTGGGGTTTACCTTCTGGAGAGAGGTGAGAGCTAAGAATCATTCTAACTGGCATGGGCTAGTTTCAAATACTTTTCTCATTACTTCTTACCTTACAGCTGCCCAGAAAACATTTATAGGTTTTGAGTTCAGGTTTCTATTTCTGTTAAGTTCTTCCTGTCTCATTTTTTTTCTTTTCTTTTTATCTGTTTTTTGGCCCCTGATCTAAAGAAAATGAGAGAGGATAGAGGTGGGGAGGAGATGGGATAGAATTCTGTTTCACAGTTGTTCCTGGTTTTTTTAAAGTTAAAGCTCACAAAAGAAACATGAATGTGACTCCATCTTGTAAGCATCTGTACTACCACTACCAGCCCATGGATCAAAAGATTGTTTGAGGAAATAGTTAGACCTTTTTGGTATATATTTTAGGGCTCCCTTCTTCCTATTATTTTACCTTAAAATCAAGGACACTCCAACATGTTGCCCATAAGAGTTCTGTTACAGGTAATTAAATGTAAGTTTACACATTTAATCTAGTTTTAAGAGCAAGAAAGACTGGTAAATGACCCAGTTAAGGAAAGTACTCAGCCTAATTGGATGTAATGATTGCTTGCTGGTGTTTATTACTGTACTAAGAGTAGACATGTAGTCTGTGATTCTAATTTGGTTTAAAGACAGACCTGTAGTATTTGCAGCTATCATCAGAGTTCGATTGTTTCAGTTAACATTGTGAAATAAGCTTGTATTCATTTGGGAACCTAAATGTATTAGAATGGAAGGAGCACTGTTTTATTCAGTTAATATTGCTCTTCAATTATTATCTCTCCAGACTGTTTTACCTACAAAAATATTTTCAGCTAGATATGCTAGCACATATTTTTGCCTGAGGAAAATAAATAGAGATTTGCCATCTTTACGTGCATAATGCAATAGATTAACAATAACTAAATTTACCAATGAGCTGATTCCTTCTGATTTATCTGTGAATATTGTCTTCAGCATATGAAATCACTACATTAATATTTGGGTTTGATTATTTCTATATCATTCTGAAAGAGTTGAGTTCCTGACTAATGCAAAGTCACTGAGAGTTGAATCAAAGTCCCAAAATTTTAGATGTAATTAATGCTTGTTACTAAAATTTCCCTAATTGTAGACACCTTGTTGCAATTTGCACTCACAATTCTGGGTTTCCAGGAAATGATATCCTAGTGAAATGTGTTGTGTCCTAGTGTGTTTACCATAGAAGATATTTGTTGCTTAAAAATAGAACACTGGATTTTATGCCCAGAGGAGCATCACTTGGACTTCAAAACACTTATGTAATTATTCTTTATTTCATAAGCTCTCAGAATGATGAATGAAATCAGAACTGACTTTGAAAAGCAAGGCCACTGACGACCAGTGCACTTAGCCAAGGTGTCTCTATGTTGGCTGTGATGGATTTGGGAGTTTTATAACATAATTGATCAAAAATGAAGTGAAAGCAACACTAAAGTCACAAAATCAAGGATATTCAGAACAGAGACTTCTGCTTCATCGTAATTCCCCCCGTTGTGCCTGGTTGTTGCAAAACATGGATCAGCAAGAGAAGTTAGCTCTTTTGGTGCTATTACACAGACATAGCAACATAATTTAATGGCAGCTTTAATTCTAACTGACTTCATTTATTGTGAAGGAAAGAAAAAAAGCCAACCAAACCTTGGTATTATTTTGTTGATTTTTCAATATATATTTTTGTCAGCTATTGTTTACTAGACTCTGCTGTGCTAAAAGAAGTTTTCCTAAGGTTAAAGAAAGATAATTTGCCTATTGGATGTGTGCAGATGGTAATACCTTCTTAATGTAGTATGTGCTTCAGAGCCCTGCTGGCTCCTTCTGAAGCTTCAAGTGCTTCAAAATACAAGATCATTGCTCCTCCTGAAAATATACATATAAAGTTACACAGAGAGAATATATGACCCGCGTAGAGATGGAAGACTGTGATCAAAAAATTGTTGTTGTTGTATCAGACAAATATCTTGATGTACTTGGGGTTTTAGAGTCATTCAGTTGCTTACAGTTACATCTACTGCAGAAGGAATAGAATAGGAGCTCATAGTGCAATACTTACCTGCAAGTACTAGAGGGAGCTGAGGGAAGGAATCAAGACAGAGGAGGCAAAGAAAGGAGAAAGATGATGGTGAGGACTTTCATTTGTGCCAGTCTGCTTGAATAGAATCTTATTTGATGCCAAGCCCCATTTACAGCATTCGAAATACAAAGTCTGTGCATTATTCACTCTCTCTGCCCAAACACAGACATTTGTATGCATATGCAATTGTCTGCTGTGCATTTAACGTAGAACATCTGTGTGTGCCCATGCACACTTGGGAGGGAAGCAGGTTAGTTTATTACAATGTGTCTTCAACAGACTTATCACATTGTTCATTGTTTTAGTATTATCTAGAGCAAATCAATATACCTTCTTGTGAAATGGATGAATACACTCTGCTCGTCTGGCAGAGTTTAATGTAAGACCTCTCCTTGATTTCCAATTCAAATGATCCTGTTAAAATTACTAAAAAACATTGCTCTTGAAGACTGTCTTAAGAGCACAACACAGCATAGAAGCACATTTCTAAATAGCTTTCTTAACAGGATAGGGAGTAGGATGCACTGAGAACTGACTGAAACCTGTTCTTTAATTGGAATATTCATCTTATGTTTTTCATTACCCTTTTTCCTTTGCCTCTCATGGATGGTTGTTGCTAATGCTCCCCTCCCCTCCCCTCCTGGTGGGCCAGCCAACAGTTCCCTCTGGAGGCAGCATCATTATATCTGCCTGGTTCACTTAGTAGCAGATGGTGAAGAGCAGTAGAGCTGATACACTGCATTTCACAGAAACCAGGATCCTTCTGGTACCTCTGCAGCACACACAGACTTGCCTGATTTGAGACTGTGAATTCTTTATACGCCTCCCAAACTAGGTTTCCTTGTTTGCCACTGTGTATGGCAGTGTAAGAGTGATTTTTATGATCTGCTCTGTTGCTGGACAGTGAAGAAAGTACTCATTCCAGGTTTCAGCTACTGGAGGATCTATTTTCCATTTTATTTCTATTTTTACCAAAAATTAAAAGAAAACAGCTCTGATGGTTCTCATTTTCACTGGTTGACAGTCCCAAACTAGGTTTCCTTGTTTGCCACTGTGTATGGCAGTGTAAGAGTGATTTTTATGATCTGCTCTGTTGCTGGACAGTGAAGAAAGTACTCATTCCAGGTTTCAGCTACTGGAGGATCTATTTTCCATTTTATTTCTATTTTTACCAAAAATTAAAAGAAAACAGCTCTGATGGTTCTCATTTTCACTGGTTGACAGGCTTCCCCCTCCCC